TGACGGTTTTAAAGTCGTAATCGCACCGCCGCTAGAGTACGCCAGAGAAGTATGGGAAGGAAATAAGAAGGTAGTGAAAGAACTCGAGGCGGCGCAGATGAAAGCAGCGACAATCATCCTAGGATGCTCCAAGCGCACAAGTAATGCAGCCGTCAGGGCAGAATTGGGGATCCAATCCCTACGGTCGGGAAGAGACGCGAGGAAGCTGACATGGCAGTATCGCATGTGCGGAATGGGAGAGGAGAGGTTGCCGAGAATTGTATGGGAGGCGAAGTGGGCAAACAAAAAGAGGGGTAGACAACCCACGGAATGGGTCAAGGTTGTAGAGGACGTATGGAAGGTGCTCGACATCGACGAAGATGAAACGCTGGAAACGGAGGGTCTGCAGGGGTTCAAGGAGAAGATATCTGTTGCTTGTGCCGAGAGAGAAGAACAGAATCTGAGGAAAGAATCCAAGGATAAGGAGGGTCTAGAAGTGTACGGAATGTTGAAGGAAGGAGTAGGGTTCAAGGACTACCTACATGGACCAATGGATGCAGGAACAAAGCTTGAGGTCAAATTCAGGACCGGGGACATATGCCTTCGAGAACGTCGACGAAGACATAGGAAGATAGACGACGAAGACGAGTTCAAATGTGATTGCGGCTTCGAATGCCAAGACCGTGTTCATGTAGTCGCGGAGTGTCCGTTGTACAAGGAGAGGGAAGTGTACGTGACTGAGCTGTGAAAAACAGGTAGGACGTACAGGGAGATGTTTGAGGCATGGAATAGAGAAGAAGGACGGTAGCTGTACTGGGGCATAGGAGGTGGGTTGAAAAGGCGGGAAGGGATATCGTTAGGATGGACCGACTGGGGAAGACATTTTTGAGCCACCTTTGGCAAAGTAGAAAGGAACGATTGGCCATCGGTGATCGGTCCTGTGGTAACTATGCTTCGTCCTCTCGAGGACGCGTGGTCTAACCGCTAAGGCATGCAAAACGTAAGAGTACGCCCCCCCCCCGCCCCCCCCCCCCCCCCCCTGCCAACATAAAAAATGACGCAAATCCGACGGGCCGAAAACGACAAAGGGTGCACTGAACTTCAGCGAGCACCGAAGATGAAGTATCGTTGGGATATCACCAATACAGAGGCGCCTCGAGTCTTCTTGACATACATGCAAAGGGATTCGAGTTGGAACAGCAACGTCACTGCTTCAAGCCAAAATACACAACGCTGCGGTGGCCCGTCAAATCGCACCATGAACCAGACCAATACCTTGAATTCAGGAGGATTGGTTGTGGTGGGATAGGCGTCATTTCAGGGTGAGGGGGGGGAGGGGCAAGGGGCTTGAAAAGAAAGGGCCGCCCAAACTGCATGCCTGCAAGCATGACTCCCGCGTTTTCTGATCATTCATTACACGTCACGTACCCACGCGCAAACGAGTGTTCCACAGAACCTCCCGCACCGGATCGACGCCCACCCTCAACTGGTGTCATGACGGGATGTGTCGTCATGCCCATTGCGCAACTTGCGGCACATCAACAAGAAAACGCAGAGACAGACGACGTCTCTCTCTTACCTCAATGCCCTGGTTGCGAAGGTTGTCCACGAAGTTGGATCCCTTGGCGACCGAGTGGTCGGGCTTGATCATGAGCAGCTTGGGCAGCTTCCAGGCCTCGTTCACGATGTTGCTGAGCTCGAACACCTTCTCTCCGTCCTCCATGACGCGGCGGAACCGCTTGTACTTGGGGGTGATGAACACGTGCGCGTTGAACTTGTTGATCCAGAAGGCCGTGTAGCTGTCGCACATCTCCCCCCAGGTCACCATGCGCAGCAGGCACTTGCCATCCGGAAGCGGCTCCACCTTGGAGGCGTAGTACTGCACAGCGCGGACGTATTCCGTCTCGTCCAGCGGCACCTCGGTCTGGTAGCGGCTTCCCCCCGGCCTGTCCGGGTGCAGAGCGCTCTTGGAGATGAGGATCTTGCGCGGTCGGTCGATGATGTCGAGGGCCACGAACTCGCGGGTCTGGGTCGGGTACGCCCACTCGACGCGGTTCGTCATGAGCTCGTAGTCCTTCATGTTCTCGTACTGCGGCTGCGTTACCCACTCGTGGCGGTCCACGTTGCGGTGGTTCTCGAGGTACTCGTCGATCGACTGGAAGCCCTCGCGGGAGACCTGGCACAGCATAGCAACAGCAGAATTGTGTTTGTAGCGTCGTGGATTACAGGGGATTTGTGTGTGGACAGCTGCAGCGAGCGAGGATGGCGAGTGGAGGACGGTCAGGGCAATAGACCTGTTGTACACAGCAATTGTTGTGTCCACGTCATGTGGGGGGTTGTGTGAAATCTAGTGAGCTAGGATGGTGTACGGAGGACGGCGAGGGCAAGCGGTCCAGTCACAATACGACATGTGTGTGTCTTGCCGAGCAGCGCTTGTGGCGGACGGTCGTCAAGCAAATGAAGGCCCTCTGTACGCAAGTGTCACAGCCGGCGCCTGCACGATCGTTGCAGTAGAACAAAGCCGGTTCACTTGCACTACAGGTCGGAGCTTCATACCGTGCAGAAAACTAAAGCTCCACCCACCACGTCATTCCCCGTACTCGCAAAGGCACTTCAAGATCCGGAGTATGCACATTTTTGATAAAACAGAGGGAACACCCGAGAGAAATCGATCGCTCGACAGGCGCAGAATCGAGGCTCAGTTGCCTGATTCCGCAGATGGACGTTTACGCCATTTCCCCCGCTACAGCACTAGGACGGTGCAAGTTTTCCTCCAACTGGTTCCAAACGAAATTTCGGCCATGTAGCTACAACTTGCCAGCTTCACTGCTGTCCTGTGGCCAAATGGGGCGCAGTTAATGATTGTGGGTGATAGCCTCACGGTATCCTACTATACACTATACCCTTGTAGAATACCCTGGCCTGACGACGAGAACCTCCCAACTCCTGATGTGTTATTTCTGCCTCTACGTCCGCTTGCCGTATTGTTGGGAAGAAAGAGCAGGCATCCTTAACGCTTGAGGTTCGAAGGGCTCGCCAGAGATGCAGACGGTTTCCTTGATATCAAAGTGCACCAGCCCGTCCGGTAGCATTTCTTCATTGCTTAGCTTACGTGCACACCGACACAGAGCACCGCCAATCAACAGATACATAAGAACACTCACGGCTACGGCTTTGCAGAGCAACCGACAAACAATTTCGGCGAGTTCAGGTTGACCCAGCATATCAAGGTTGGAGTGGAGCTCGTTCAGTAAGAACAAATTGTTGTCTCGGACGGCTTGAGAGACATGGCAAATAATCTGACGAACCGTGCGTTCTCACCCGGTGAAAATGAGCGATGCACCGGCCTTTCATACTTCATGATTCGATTCATATTTTCCTCGGCCCGCATGGGTCCAGCTTGGCTAGTACTGTTGTACTGTCTGGGCATCCACCGACTGCTGCAAGCGTAAGATCAACAACAATGAAAGCGGGTGGTGACAGCTTCTCCGCATTCGTCAACTTCGAGGCGGGTAGAGGACGCGAGACCAATGTAGAGGCCAAAACGCGAGCAACACTTCGGACCTCGCGAACAACCTCCTTTACCTACATGTTGGACACAGGAACCATGTGGCAAATAGGATGCAGCAGTAGGAAACCGGACCATGTATCTACTGTGGACATGAACCATTTTACATCTTGTATTTGAATTCGATCTTCCTCATAAGCCTTAACCCATGGTAAATTGGTATTATTGGAAAGGAAGGTGGGTGTGTCGGCTCGTCGAGGGGGCGGAAAATCTTTCTGACATCCCGATGCGGTTAAGGTAGAATACCAATATTCAGTAATGTCCCTATATATGAATAGGGCTGTTGAAAAGGTCCATCAGCACACCAGCGGGGGGCCGAGTTGTGTGCTTGAGCATGCGCGCGCGCAAGATAACTCGAGGTGAGCGAGAGAAATGCACCGCCTGCTGTGCCTGTCGTCTCAAACACACACCAGCTGACAGGAACACACTCTGGTACATAGGAGTGGCGGGGGGATGCAAGGATGCACCGCCTCTCGACAAGGGCGTGCGCCACAATGTATGATTATTTACAGGAGCAAAACAACCCGATACAAGTGTTTGCAAAAACACAAAGACAACACACCACGATGCCCCAGGTAAATAGTACAGCTGACCTTGTACCGTACGCCCCATCGGCGCCCTCTGGCTGCAAATACTACATGGACTATTCCCCCCATGATTGTTTCTCCCGAAAAACATGATTTGCTGCTGCGCGTGCATGTGCTCTCCTCCTCTTACCTGGAAGTTGTAGAAGTCGTCGGCGTCCGCGTTGATCGCTCCCAGCCCCCTGACCACCCGCACCCCGGACTTGAGGTACGGACCGGCCACGTCCTTGGTCTCCACGAAGATGCCGTCCTCTTCCAGCACCTTGGTCCAGCCCTCGTCTGAAGCGAAGAGGCGCTCGGCCTCGAGGATGCACTTGTCCGCGAGCGCGCTCGCGGTAGCGTCGTCCTTGACCATCTCCTCCCCGATGAGGTGCTCGCTCGTAGGGGTCGAGAGGGGCTGGTTAGCGTACGACTCCGGTGGGGTAACGTACTTGCGGATCCGCTCCTGCTCCAGGCGCTCCATCTTTCGCTGCATCTCCTTGGTCATGGGCTTGCTGTTGGGAGGAGCGGCGGCCACCATGCTGGGGGCGGCCGAAGAGGCCGTCCTTGTCTGCTGTGGTCGCACCGAAGCTCCGGCGAATCCGTTCAGGCTGAAGGCGTCGACATGGAGGTGCTGCGCGAGGACAAGCAGCGCAGCGGCCGAGATGCGTCCTGGAGCCATGATGTTGTACTTGGTCACTTCTCCTCCTCTGCTTGGCTAGAGCAGCAGCAGTGTTTTGGTCGGAGCTTTATGCGGTGCAAGTGGGGGAGGTGACGTGGACTTGATTGAACCCTTGGATATCCGAAAAAATGCACAGCAGCAGTACACCTGCCCCTTGGTATCGGGGCATTTGACAACACCGGAGCCCCTTTCGGAGCGAGCCAACGAGTGACCATACATAGCTTGCTACTCCTGTAGCCGCACAGCACCGCAGCGGTGTGCCAGCACCGTTGTCCACGTCGTACAGTTGTTCATTGGCTGACTGCTGTACATAAGATGGCCCGGAGGTCTCGATCCTGGAGTGTCTCTTCCCGGGAACGACCCACCATGGTGCTGTGTGCTGCCCGGTGTGTAGGACTTTTCATGATCTCATGCACGAAACTCTCCGCTCCTTTCGTTCAAGTACAACCTGCCCGCGGCAGCAGTCCTCTCTCATGTGGTACATGTAAGACAACAACACCGACAGGCTCGCTGGGGGGAGGGCTAGGTTTTGATGGCCGTGGTTCGACAAGCGGTGTGAGGCAGCGACATCGTATCGAGATGACGCTGCAGGTGCAGGAGGGGTCAAGCGCAGCGGCAGCAGACGCTCTTGCAGCTAGGAGCGCTGCCGCTAGCGCGGTGGCGAAGCCGTTCGTGAGCCGAAAGCTCGGCAGCTTCGAGAAGATGCTCACGAAAACGCGGGACGGTGCTGGCCCTGCTGAGGACGGCGTTCGGACTCTAACTACGCCGCACGTGTGGGTGAGCATTTGATAATGTGGTGCGCACTGGAGGGTAGGAAGAGGAGAGTCAGCCGGTCACGATACCCCCTTGTGTGCATCTTTACACCAACAGCATATGCCCACGCTGTTGGTGCTCGATCGAACCCTGGCAGTGAGTAGGCGGGAGCCCAATCTAAGTGCACACCTCGTTGACCTGCTGTTGGCAGTTCACGGCCGTGCGGCTTGTTGAAAAACAGACCTTCTGTACACATACTGCTGTTTTTGTTTCAAAAGCACGCCGACGAATGTCGTCGGAGTGCTAGTAGTCCCAAGCTTGCTTCTTTTTTCCTTCTTGAGTGTTTGCCGGACACACCGTATTCGTCAACGAAGGAAAACAACAACACGGGTCCCACTTGACAAAATAGCGTAGAGTCACGCGGCAGGGAGGGGCGGGGCCCCGCCGGCAGCAACTGACGCAAACCGGAAGATTTTGTACTCGAGCTAGTGCGTTTTTTTTTTTTTTGTCTTCACTCAATTCAGCGCTCACGGCACTTGTGCCGTTTACTCCAACCCGTGGTCACACAGAAGAGCCCCTCTCTACCCTCCCCTCCTGCGGTACTTTGCCTTCGATTTTTAATGCGAGAAGAGTTCAGCACTTTCTTCCCTCTGTGTACACCCGAACTATTGTATAATAGCGCTATCCACTAGGCCAGGAGCAGAAGCGAGAGGAAAACTCACCTTGCAAGATAAGCTCGGTTACGCCGGGATTCGAACCCCTGACCTGACCTCTAGAATGTAACGGGGATTTACCAACTAGACCACCGAGGCGACCGGTCTAGTATGCATGCACACCGTAGTACATTGAGCCAACAAAGTGCAACCCGAAGAAGCTACCCCAAAATAACACCAACCCTAACCGTAAGTCGTCCCCTAGATTAGACGCTTGAAAACTACAGCATGTTCGGCCTGAGGGTCTGATACACATACATGTCGCCCGAGTGCTCCCGAAAAGAACAGCCGCGACCGGCCCTGAACGGAGATAGAGGGCACTTCTCAGAATACCCATCCATTCGTGTGGCCCGACATAGTGGCATAACAATCTCTTGTCACAATCTCGACATGCCATGTTGTCTATTTACGTACGTCTATCAACCCAATATGATATATCGAACAGAGTAGTCTAATGGCACTGCCCTGAATAGTGACATAGTCTCCTCTTGCCCCTACATACCACAATAATATCGGACCGCCTATTTGTATGCTGTATGCACTTTTAGTGGTGAGGGACTCAATGCTTTCATCCATCTCCTCGCTAATGTTGTTGTTGTTGTTTTTCTCCCATCATTGGACTCTGTCTTCTGCCCCTCTGGCCCCTATCCTCCACTTCTACCAGCTAGACGACCCAATCGGGGTCACATAGGAGGGGGGGGTTGGACCCCCTCCTGCGGTTCCTGCCTGAGATATTTTTATCGCGAGAAGGGTACAGCAATCCTTTCCCTCGCGACTTAAGTCGATCAAGTTTACTAACAACGAGCTTTGCAGCGCATCGTTTCCAACGGAGACCAGGATGTAATAAGCGAGAAAATACTCACTCTGTCGGGACTCGAACCCATGACCTGGCCCTTAGCAGGTTGCGAGGCTACCCACTAGACCACCGGGGCGACCGGTGTGCTCGCTGATGATCTGTCCAGTACACTATTTTTGTTTTTTTTGTTTTCTCGCGGCGTCGTATGTGCCGGATTTTGAGACCACGGGCTCCCCATTTTTTGTGGACTATAGAGCTTCTCCCTTATAGAGCTTCTCCCTTCTTCCCCTCGCTCCTCGACAAGCTTTTGCTTAGACATGGGTTGTAGTGAAGGGGGGGGTCTTTCTGGCGAGCAGGGCTAGACTCACCCTCAAGGGATGACCGAAACCTTCTTGCTGCTGCGCATATCCGCCGCGAGGCATGCGCGTGGTGGTGTAGTTGGGTCGGCACTGATGGGGTCAGGCGAAAAAATGTAGATGCGCGGGCCTCTGGCCGTCGGCGTAGGCAGCGATGCCCATCTCATTTTTTGTGCGCGGAGGCAGACACCGTCAGAAGGTGGACGGGAACTATGTACACGGCCCTAGGTTGGCTAGAGGGCGCTGCATTGCCTCAGTAACCTGGCTTCGCCATCAAAGGAGGAGGGAGCAGGTGGCGACGAGCTGAACTGGGCTGGTTGACCCCTTCGGCGCGAGAATTTTTATTTTTCAGACCAAGAACCTTGAGTGCAAGGAGGGAGAAAGCGAGGAACCGACTGGGAAGGACAGCAACGAGAGCGTGTACGGACGGAGCAGGTCGAGTGGCGTTATGCTCGGGCTGACTACAGCGGCGCCGGACGGAGCAGCGGCACCGGAGCATGCGGGCGACATCGACCCGTGGCGCACGGACAAACATTTATATCTGATCTGTGTTTTTAATTTTTCTCGTTTTTTTCCTGACTTTCCGTGTTGGTTTTGTGTGATGCCATCGTCACCGGTTTTGTAGAGAGACCCGTCAGAGATGGCGTGGCTAACCCGGGTGCCTTGGTTATGTGCCTGATCGTGGAAGACCCCTTCAATGTGGAACGATTCTTAGCTATTGTCGATATTTTCACTGCGTGCCTAACACAGACGATCGGGAGAGGTTCGGGTGATTGTCCATTGCAATCATGGCTTTGGTTGGTTGTTCTTTTTCACTGTACGTCCGCAGACACATTCTGACAGCACTTCAGACAGCAGCTTTGTGCCCCGCCAGCTTCTTGTTCCATGCCTACCATGGTGTTTTTGTACAGACAGCACTTCAGACAGCAAGTATGCTGTAGTCGGCAATCATTCGTTTTGGTACAGAGTGGGACAGGTAGGGGGTGATGTTGCTGTAGTCGAACGGTGAGACGGACGTGTAGTTCAGTTTTGGGCACGCGTACGGTGCTGCAGGGATTATATATAGGTGTAGTAGTACCTCTTCGGGCTCTTGGATACCTTTTTCTTGCGACGTGTGCGTGTTCTTTAGATCCTCAGATGGCTCTAGCACTTTCGTGACCACGGGCCGAGAGTCTTTGCTAGATTTTGGCATTAAGCAACTGGCATACGGTTTAATGTGAAGTCAACAACAACAACAAGAGCTAATGTGAGAAACAACAACAACAACTATCACACCTGAATGAAAGAGACCACCAGAACGCGGACCGGTGATTTAGTCGTTCTCACTCGGCAGAACAAACCTCGCCCGGGCGAATTTGCATGTTGTTGTCACAACATACATCGACCCACATCATGAATGACGTACAACGCATTCTCATGCGTACTACATTCTGCTTGCCGTCGGAGGTGCGCAACGCTACGCGAGCAAGGCGTTTTAACAGTAGGAGGCGAAACATAGTGACAAACACAACAAACAGAACATGACCAGACAGAAGTTCCCAATTTTGCACGCAGTCAACATGCACTGCTTGCTAGCGGCGGACCGTCCATGTTGTTAGTCTTTGTCTCGAACTGCTGTTGTGTTCATGGATGACGACACAGACAAGAAGAAAGAGACGCGGATCGTTACCTACACGCGAGCAACTCGCTGCCTCCGCGAGCAACGCGCGCAACCTACAGAGACGATTACCTTACGAGCTTCGCAGCACATTTCAAGCATCACTCAGCAAGAAATAAATTACATACAAACGCAGAACATCAAAAAAGGAAGATTGTGACGCGCATTGTGGCGCGCAGCACACAGGACCCTCTTTCTCTGTTGAACCGGCCGTTCTCATGGCGAATCAACATGCAAGGAATACCGTATATGACACGAGATAACACACCCCCTTGACCGATTTTCGAAGCTCGATTTCTCAACTGCTGGAGCGGTCACAGCGCCGAAAACGGCGGCGTTGAAACCGTCTCGGCGAGAGCTCTTCGAAAATGTTTCATTTCGTTTATGCATCCTCTTCGTCGTGGAGTAATCGAGCTTTGAATATTGGTCCAGGGAGTGTGTTATCTTGTGTAATATACGGTAGTCAAGGCCGACTCGTGTCGGCCACAGGAGGTGGAAGCTGCTCAAACTCGGGGAGGGGTCATGCGTGGCGATTCCCTTCTGAATCATACTTGAGGCGCCAGGAGAGTTACACTGTAGGTCGGGCAACGGAAGGGGTGGGCTATGCGAGTGAACATGACAGGTGACAGAAAAAGTGAATTTAGGTCGATAGAGACTCAAGCTCTAGAGACCCAAGCGTCTGACATGATGTCCGTAGTAGGTGGTTCGAACAGAGGAGATGGAGAGCAGAGGGAGTGTGCAGCGGGGGGCGTGTGGCGGGACCCTGGGTGCGGGGAGCGGCAGATAACCCGCAACAGCTGGGGGATACGATGCGG